TGTTACTAATAGCTTCTTGTTACTACTAGTAAGGCACTTGTTACTAGTAGCGATGCACTTGTTCCTAGTAGCATTCTTGTGCAGAGTAGTAAGGAGCTGTTTAGTCCAAGAATATCCGCTCCAAAGGGAACACACTCACCTTGCAGCGGATCGTTCCAACAGCAGGTCGTGGAGGGATCAGTGAAATCTTCATCAGATCAATTTGTCGGAGTCTTTGATATCGGGGAAGCGTTCTGTGCCAGAATCCCATTTTGGTGGAGCAGGAAATGCTCCCAGGCCTCAGATAAATTTTTTAAAACATCTGAGTGCAAATCCTTAGACCTAAGCGGGTCTTGTTTTAATTCGGATGTTTGTGCGGGTGCACTCAGACTGCACTCACCTGTTGGCAGTATAGGCCGGTATTCCAGAGATGCCGGATTGCCTCAAGCTCTAACGGTTTCCCATAAGTGGCCAACGAGGCTTCCTGACGGTTCGGACTTTGATGGTCGTTTTCATGTAGTTCCAAAACTAGTCGGTTTCGATCGAAGGGGTCACGATTGGAGGCGAAGCCATTATCTTAAACCTTCCGTTTTTACACCTCGCAGCGCACAAAAAAGGCAGCTTACTTCGTTGAGTCTTTATAGACACAGACACAGACATGTGTTTTTGTTGGGTCAGCAGCTCAACGGTTCGTTTTTGCTGCTTGCTAGCTCGTCATGGCTCGTTTCGTCTTTGGTTCGTTTCATCGATTTGAGACGAAGACGGTTGAAGAGAAGAGATGGAGCCGATCCCTTCACATCGGATCCATTCGGATCCCAAATACTGATCTCACCCGGAGTCCGGTCCTCCGTTCTGTGCCAGGTTCCGGCCCTTCCTCGTTCTCCGGGTCCGGTCGGGAAGGGGTTGGACCGGGGTTGGAAGTCGAACGAAAGGAGGGAAGGTTCCCTGTATAGTAATGATTATAGATATGATAGATATGATAAGGAATTATAGGAATGGCATTTGATAAAAACATTATAACATGTTGACATGCCAGGAGCCCCTAGTAGCGAACCTTGTTCCTAGTAGTAAGGCCAGGAGCCCCGAACGTAGCGTCCGATCGCTCCCAACCCTCCGCCTTTCCTTTAATTACACTTCATTCTAATTAAAGTCTATAGCTTCTTATTGCTTCTACTAGCTTCTTGTTCCTAGCAGTAAGGCCCTTGCTCCGTTCGTAGCGATGCCCTTTGCTCCGTTCGTAGTGTCCTTTGCCCCTACGCCTCTCCACCTGCATAGGCCGAACGCCCTTTCGCTCAATCCGAGCGCCTCTCCACCAGGCGAAGGCCATCGCTCCTTCGTGTCCCACGGTTCGCGCCGGTGCACGCGGTCCACGCTCTCCGTGTTCGAGGATGGGACGGTTTGGAAATGGTTTGACTCAAATTTTTGTTTGGTTTCAAACGGGTAAATTTGCACGAACGGATGGTGAGGTTGGTTGCTTTGGCCCAAAGACGAACCGAACGAACCGAACCATGTGCCGAACGACCCGCAGCTGCGTCCCATGAAGTTCAGCCAGAAGGAGCTTCAGGAATGTGATTGTGATCGGAAACAAAAGTATACGAGTTCAAGGACACATGTCACACCATGTTCAGCTTTGAAATGTCCACAGATAAAAAAAACAAGTGATGTTAATTGCACTGTAAGCTCTTCATTTTCCAAGCTGCCGTCCACTGTCCGCTACCGCGCCGCTACCCTCCATGGATCAAAAGAAGCTCCGGGAGTTGACCAAGAAGGAGAAGGAGCGCCGCGATGCTCCCGTGAAGCCGAAGGCGCGCCGCGTGGAGTCCAACGCGCTGCTGGCGAAGCGGCTCCGCGCGGAGCCGGAAAAGCGCCCGGCCGCGCAGCGCCCGGAAGGGGAGCCGGAGGCGCCGCAGGTGGCTGAGCAGGTGGCTGAGATGGAGGAGGAGGTGGGACCCGAGAGCAAGGAAAATGAAGTGAATGAAGTGGAAGAGCCGGTGGTGGAGCAGACGCTTCCGAAGAAACCGGAGGTTGAGGAGGACAAGCAGGACAAGGAGGAGGAGGACCAGAAGGAAGGATTGCCTGAAGGCTTCTTTGATGATCCTGATATGGATGCCAAGATGAGAGGTCAAGAGGCACCTTCCAAGAAAGCCGAACGAGAGCTGGAGGAAGGTCTGCGCAGATTTGAGCGAGAGATGCAAGCTGAGCAAGAGAGGGCAGAGGAGAAAAGACATCAAATCGATGAGGAGAAATATGAAGCAACAGCTGTTGAAGAGCAAGAGTTTCAAGTGCAGCTTCAGTCTCGCCTTGAGAAGCTGCGTCAACAGACGGCCCATCGAAAGCTCAACATGCCAAAGGAGGCAGAAAAGGAGGAAGAGCCGGAAGATGATGAGGATTTGGATGACGATGACTTGGATGGATTGTCGCTTGACTGGCGCGCCAAAGGCTTCAGCTAAGGGGAGCAAAAAGAAGAGTTCGTGCCCGGGCGTGGGGAAGAAATATGAAGAAATCCTGGACAGATCTTTCAAAACAATCATGAATCTTTCATATCCAATCTCTACATGAACCGGTATAGCCGTGGCATGCCGTGGGCTGCAGACCGATCCGACCCCCCAAGCGTCGCGTGGTCGCCTCGACTCGGTGCCGTCCGGGGTAGACCCTACCCGACCGACCCGACCTTCCTGTATGCACATGTCCAGGCCGTGAGGGAACCCAAGTCATGCACTGTCCAATCCCCCATAAAACCATCCCTACTAGCAATGGCCTCCAACCTACTCGGGATCGCCTCCAACCCAGTAGTACCCTAGGCCCTACACTATATTTACCCTCCAAAAAGTGCGGAAGAACAGGTTAGGCTCCATCGCGTCTCCCACGACCAGGCACGACGGAGCACCGGACCCGCCACCCGCGGCGAGCGGTGAAAAACGCCGGAAGTGCACGACCTGCGCGGCATGCACGACATGCACAACATGACACCGTGGCACCTTCAAGTGGAGGGTGACAACAGGTGACCCTTCATTTGCCAGCTAAAAACAAGCTCAAAAGAATATGCCATTGACTCGTAACGGATAATTTTTTCTCAAACGGATGGTCATGGATGGCGATCCCTCTTTAGTGCTATGTGAAAACGCTGCCATTGGTGGCCCAGAAATGTAGCTCCAATCTGCAAACTTCACCGTTGTAGCTCCTTTCCATGTGAAACGAGTCAGGGGTCTTCCCTTCTTCATCCCAAAGAAAGAAAAAAGATGTATTAACAATAAATCCATAAAGTTTGGTTTAAAAAAAGTGTTCTTCTTTCTCAGACCGACCGCCACCGGGGCATGGACGTCCCCAGTGCCGTTTGGGGCAACGCCTCCTGTTTCGGGACCGACACCGAGGGCGCGTCGGCCGCGTCTGCCGCGTATGAGTTTTGCTGCCTGGGTGGACTGGAACTCTTCGACTCGGCGACAGGTGTGTGTCGCTCGGGGTGTGAGCTTCGATCCTGTTGGTCGCGAGACACGTCCTATGAGACCTGCTGTCAAGCGAGAAACCTGCACCTCAGGTCGCACACGTGCTTGAAAGGTTGCGAGAGTGCCCAGTGGCTGGATTTTTTGCGTGTGTTCAAGCTTGCGCGTGGCTGCATTCATTGCATAGGCCAGTATGATTTGCTGGGCAAGGTTTGGGGAATGATCGGAGCAGGGCTGGGCTGTAGGGCAGGAGAAGTCCTGGCAGCGTTCACCGTCCTGATTGCCTCTGCCGTGTCGAGTGCTTCTTCCGTTCCGGTGAGACTCTTCGCACCGCGAGCGGCTTCGATGCTGGAGCAGATCTCATCCTGTGGTTTATCATCCTTAGATTGGTGGCATTTGGCGGGTATCACTGACCGACAAATGCACTACATCCTCGTCCAGATGGAACCCGTGCCATTTCTGGGTTCCAGCTTACGAAAAGAACGTCAGAACTTCACGGCCATTGATGTGGGAGCCGGTGGTTTTGGTGACACCTTGTATTTCCTCAGCGTCTTCCAACGGGTCCTGGCCATTGATGCCCGGCCGTCTCTGGACACACGACAGCCTTGGATGAAGCGCGTGGGCCGGCGCTTGGAGACCTTGGTTCGTGCCGTGACGGGACGCAGTGGAGAGGAGGTGCCGGTCTTCTTGGATCAACATGGCCAGGGTCTGATGAGCTCTCTGAATTCTTCATTGGTGCCAGGTGTTCAATTACACCCTCTGCAGCAAACGAGGGTGAGCTCTGTCTCCTGTGCAGATCTCTATGAAAACCACAGCAACGTGCTGTACATGAAGGTCGACATCGAAGGCTTCGACATCGATTGCCTTCGTTCTTTGGCTCGTTTCGACCCCGCCCGTTTACCCCGTTTCTTCTGCATCGAACTGCCCAGTGCCCAATCAGTAGTCTTGGACCTGGTGCAGCACCTGGGCTACCAACACTTCAAGATCTCCCGTCAGCGGCTCTACAACCTTCGCCTCGCCCGGGGCGAGCGCTATGCGGCCTCCGGACCCTTCGGCGCGGAGGCCGTGGACTTGCGCCGCGGGCCGCGCTGGCGCGGCGCGGCGGAGATCACGCAAGTGCTGAAGTTGGTGGCGTGGGAACGAAGGAGGCTTTTGGAATGGTTCGATTTACATGCTGCGAAAAGCACTTGATCTACATGTTTCATGATGTTTTTGGATGTTTGGATGTACTGTCGACATTCGTGTTGAACGACATCTACCTGGGTTCCAGATCTATGCCTGGTTCTACCTGGCTTCCTCGCGGCGTGCGCGCTTCCCGGCTGGAGACGTCCAGTGCCTTGCTCGGTGCACAGCTTGGCCTTTCGTTTTCGATTGCAGCGAGTCCTGGGAGCGAAGCGGAAGCGGGAGCGAGGCAAAAAAAGGAGGCGGAGATCGTTGACGTTGATGGAGATCGTTGACGTTTTTCTGAAGTTTTCTGGATGACCTGCGGACGATGTTGAGCCAGACAACGGACGATGTAACAACAGCACACGTTGTCATGTCATGTGGTCATGTGGTTTGCTTCGCCGCAGCAGTAAATGAGTTTGTAGAACAAGATCAAAAGATTCAACAGAAATCCAGGAGCTTTTGCACTAGTGTATTCTGCACATTCCCATCTACCACACCACAAGCATGGGAAAGATTTAGCGATCTTCACTTTCACATTTCTTCACTTCACATAGCTCTCAATGAGCCACTATGTGTGTGGCAGGCCGGGAGAATGCCCAAGCAGATCGTGTGTGTGTTTTGTTCTCTAGTTTTTTTCTTTAAAACGCAACACGAACACGTCGAAGTCAGTTTTCGCTGCGTCGGTCGCTGCTTTTCGGTTTCGAGGCAATTCATCTTCGAGGAAGAGCCTCGATGGCTCCTGCTGGGCCTTTTGGTGGTCATGGTGGCGGGGATGCTCATCGGCCTACTGCCACTTGGCCGCTCGGGGAGATGGCTGGCCAGTAACTGGCGGAAGTGAAATCATGAAGACGTGATGTGAAGATCTAGGAACAAGTGCCTTACTAGTAGTAACAAGAAGCTAGTAGGAACATTAATATAAATTAGAATTGAATTAGAACAAATTCGATTTTGTGACCTCCGAGATGTGATGTCTACTAGCTTCTTGTTACTACTAGTAAGGCACTTGTTACTAGTAACAAGTGCCTTACTAGTAGTAACAGGAAGCTATTAGGAACAAATTTTAATTTAGAATTTAATTAGACTAAAGTTGATTTTGGTGAATTTTTGGTCGCCTTGAGGGCAACGCAAGGACATGAGGCGAGTCTCGACTCGGTGCTTAGGGAGGCCATCGCTACTAGGTTAGACCATGTGGGGACCATCTCCCATCTCAGGCTAGGACTGGTCATCGGCCTGGCGGGCATGTTCTTCTTCGAGATGGCGTTGATGGGCCTCGCGCTCTTCATTTTGTACGACGCGTACGATTTGACTTTTTTGAAGAAGTCCGGTGCGCGCGACAAGACGGGCTTCGCCTTCATGGTAATGTTCTGCACCACTTTGGTCTTGCTGTTTATGGCAGCCATGCGATACTGTGCCTTTAATTTGAGCACACAGAGCCGCTGTGTGGTCTTTAGCATCGTTGGTATCGCCTTGGCCTTGGTGGCGTACGTTTATGCTCGACTGTGTTGTCAAGAAGATGAGAGGAAGCATCATCTTGGCCCGTGTAGTCCGGAAGGGGAGCTTTTAGAAGCCAGCGACGGTGAAAGGGACTTGGCCAGTCGGTCCTGGAACCTGAAGCATTTGCAAACCTTCCTCAGCTGGATTATGTGCGGCCAATGCTTTTTCGAAATCAATGATTGGTTAGTTCCTTCTGAAGAGGATTGCTCTCTGAAGGATCAAATTACAGTGCACAACCGGAGTTTGAAGCTCATCAAGGTCTGTCTATATTCATCCTTCGATGTGGTGTGCTGGGTTCCCATTGGTGGCATCGCTGGAAGCTGTGTGGGTTTTATTCGCTCCGGAGAGAAGCGCACCTTGACTCTGCCTCGGCCCTGGCGGAAAGTGAACGGGACCGAAAGCGAAGAATCCTTTCGATTGAAAGTCTTCATGCCAGGCTTGTTGGATAAAGAGTTGGCCTTTTTCCCGAAGGCCAAGAGGGGTCAATCCTTCGCCTTCGTCGACGTCGAAGGGGTGGTGCGGCGCTCACGGCTGCTGTCCTCTCAATCCTGTCTTCCGGAAGCCACGTTGCCGCTTCCCGCCATGGAGAGCTCCGAAGAGGAATACGCCTCCGCGGCTGCCGCGGCCCTGAAGAAGGATGAGAAGTTCGATTCCAGCGGACCGGGCCCCGGTGGCCTCGGCCTGCGGAAGCGCAGTTCGCTTCAAGTCATGAAGGGCGGAGCAGGCGGAGCCGATTCGCCGGGCATTCAGCTGGAAGGCAGTCCGCACTGCAGGAAAGCGGCGCCTGATGAGACACTTGGCCTTTAAGCCGTAGCCTTTTGGTCCACGGAACATGTTAAAAGATGTGATGAATTGGTCAAAGCCACAAATTGCTTCCAAAAGACTCTTAGTTAGCTAGCCGGAAACCTTTCGTTTGCAAAGACTCTCAGGGAAAACAGCAAAGACTCTCTGAACGATGCGTTAAAATGACCTCAGAGATCCTCAGCCAATCCTGTCGAGGATTGTTGTGCGGAATCGCAGCAGCGAAGATGTCAGAGCACTTCTCTTCCGAGCAGACGACTACTGCTATATGGTACCAGTGGTTGGTAAGCTCATGGCTTGTGGCGATTGCATTCTCCAAGGAGAAGAGAGAAGATTCAATCCCAGCACAGATGAAATGCAGGAATTTACCCTAAAGGCACGGAAAAAGAAAAATAAAAAACCCACTTGCCCAAAACATGTGTGTTGGAGCCCATCGCTACTCGGGTTGGAGACCAGTCACACAAAGAGCTTGGAGGCCGTGTTACATCCACGTTCATCCGCCCACCGGACTGGTCGTTCTCCGTCCACTCGGACCGACCGTCTGGCAGGTTTATAGCATCGGACCGGCCTCGAAAGAGCTCACCTATCTCACAGTGAGACGTTCGGGTCTCCCAGCGAACGCGAAAGGGCCACTCGAAAGCCCGGAAACAGCTTTTGCACCTATCTCTTACTACTAGGAACAATAAAGCTACGAACGGAGCAAAGGGCATCGCTACGAACGGAGCAAGGACGCTACTAGGGGCTCCTTGCCTTGCTACTAGGAACAATAAAGCTACGAACGGAGCAAAGGGCATCGCTACGAACGGAGCAAGGACGCTACTAGGGGCTCCTTGCCTTGCTACTAGGAACAATAAAGCTACCAGGAGCAATTCTCACTCGTTTCTCTCCTCTCTCTCTCGCGCTATATAGTAGGTTGGTTGGAGGCCGCTATAGTAGGTTGGAGGCCATTGCAATTAGGTGGGTCTCTCTCTGTCTTTCTTTCTTTGTGTCTCTGTGTTTTTGGTGTTTGTCTTTATGAGGTGTTTTTCCTTCGGAGCCAAGCCAAGGTGTTTGACTTGGGATTTGAAAAAGGGGGTTGACCACTTTGCGTGGCCGTGGTTGTTTTCCAGGACATGAGCACTACGTCCAAAAAACGTTCTTCTCCCTTCCGTGCCGAGGTGGTAACGCCTACACCTTTTGTGACTCCCTTCTGTCATGAAGGATCATGGACGGAGTCAACGTTGGAGCACCAAATTCGTGCAAAGATGGTGCCCATCGGGTTCGAGATTGGCCTTTAAAAGGCGCTGAATGCATATGTGCACCTCCTCTTCTGCCAGAGATGTCCTGCACACCTGTTCGTCGCTGGATGTAAATCATGTTCATGTTGCCATAGCCCATTGCCAATATGTTGCCACTATCGCCTTGACTGTTTGGGTTTGGAAGGTCTCATCTCCGAGATGGAAGTGCTCATATCATCTATCTCAAATTCTAGCTTCTGCATCGCAGAAGAAGGCTTCGGCCGTTGGCATTGTCCATGATGACCTGTTTTTCAAGCCATTGGTTGCACTGATGCAGTGAATTCTCCGAATTGAATAGCTTGCGAATAGAAGTGGACCAGTTTGAGCAGCAGAATCGCACTTTGTCCGTTGGCGAAAGCCGAATCGCTTGGAAAGCAGAGGATGCACAGAATGGGTCTAGACAGTCTGGACCGCAGCACAGGACGCCAGACCCGCGACACGGACGTCAGAGCTCCACGTCCAAAAGACGGAGACAGAGACGTCGTCCGGGACGGAACGGGACGCTTCACGGAGCTTCAGATTCGGTCCCCATTCGAAGAGCAAGTTCCAGTGAGGCCTTTCCAACTGCCTGTCGACATGGATAGCCTCACCTGCAGCGAATACACTGTAGCACTCACCAACCAAAGCGCGCCACATTCAACCTGTCATCTCGGGTTGTAGTGCCATTTTGGCAATAAGCTACTAGTAACAAGTGCATCGCTACTATAGTAACAAGTGCCTTACTATAGTAGTAACAAGAAGCTATTAGAAACATTCAACCATAGCTTCTTGTTCCATTGTAGTGCCATTTTGGCCCAAAGGAAGAACTGCGAAGAGCGCCGGTTCGCCGGTTCTTCGCGTCGCAGGCCTAGCATCGAAGAGAAGGGCACGAACGTGGAGCTAAGGACCCACCCGCTCAAGCCCAAAAGAAGCACCTCACCTCCCAGCTTCATCTATAGGTTCCTTTTTTTCCTTTTTTTCTGAAGCCTCCCATTCAAGTCGTCCACCTTCAAGATCCATGCGAAGCGATTCGGTTTGGGGTCTTAGACACCAGTCGCCTATACGCCTAGAAAACCTCTCCAGATCTCTCCATCACCGTTTTCGCTTCGGGCTGAACGGCCGGGTCTTCGCCTCGTTCAGATGCCATGAGCCACGTGTGTCATGGAGCCATGCGCTTCGTCGTTTGGGCGCTTCTCCCTGCGGCAGCTGCAGACACCTGTTTCGGGGCGCCCTATGTGGGTCCCATGCAGGCGGAGTCTTTACTAAGCAGAAAGATAGGTTTGAAAAGGGAGCAGAGACATATAGCGAAACAAAGAATAGGAACAAGTCATGGTCCGTCCGAAAACTTCGGAATATCAAAGGACCGTCCAAAAGGTCCACCGGTGTGGGATGGAACGGAGACAGAGCACCCTGCGTCGGACCCGACACCGAAACGGGGTTTGGACGTTTGGAAAACTCGATGTGTTGGTTCGGGCCCGGATTCTTCGGGTAGTTGAAAACAAAGGGAAGCTCTGCAGAACTGTTAGAACTTCTATCAACTCGGGTTTTCGAGCCAATGAAAGTATGACCGAATGATGTCTTTCTTTGCAAAATTTGTGTTGATCACGGAAAATATGCTAGCTGTGCACGGCTTGTTTCTCCAAAAAAGACGTCGACAAAAAACGTTATTGTTTTGCCTAGTATGGCCAAAGATGCGGAAAGGATGAAAATCGACACGTCATTTCATCCAAAGAGAGAAGCGGAATGACGGGCAACCGCAGCATCTCAGCTTCCCTAGCTCCGCTCTAAGAGCTCGAAACCGACATGTGCGAAGAGTGTGGCGCCATGTGAAGCTTTTGAAGACCATTCAATCCTTGGTGCTTCAAAGGTCTTGAACACTTAAGCGTGTTTTTGCCGTGTTCGCGTGAGCATGGGGTGCTCACTCCAATGCCTGTCCGTGTGCTGCGGAAGTGCCAGGACGCCGCCAATTGTGGCAACCTCGCACATTGTGGGGAGTGCCAGGCGCATGAGCATGGGGAGACTTAGGGCTATTGAGATATGACAATCCAAAGATCCAAAGGTGGAGGACCCAAGGTTTTGCATGTGGAGGAGCCAGGGTTTTGCGTTTGGAATTTGCAGATGTGTACATCTCTTGGGCCTTGAAGCTGGCGTTAAGCAATCTTGAAGGTAAAGGATCCAGGCTTGACATCCACATTCTCTTCGAAGCATTGAGGAATGCACACATGAGATGCCTGTAGCTACGCTCTCATTTTGGCCATTAGTTGTTGGGTTGATGTTCGTGGTCATGGTTGATGTTCAATCTCATTCCGTCACGGTGGACCAATTTCACAAGGGAAAGAAAGCAGTCAATCGTACGAAAAGGTGATCAGTTCCGCTTGATTTCGGTGGTTCTTGGTCATCCCCGGACCAAATCCCGGGGTCCGTGTATGACATGTTGTTATAGTCACGGTTGCTGTTGTTGTATTGGCATGGCAACTACCGGTATAGTCGGATATACAGTGTCACTTCCGACCAAAAGCAGCTGCTCTTGCTTGCGTTCCGAAACTCTTTCGAGTCGGCAGTAGCCCAGGTGCAGTGCAGCTGCCAAGGCCGCAGCAACTGTTTAGGCTCCGATTCTTTGCTTCGATGCGCCTTGGCCCAACGAAAGCTGCTTTAAATTCCGGGTTTGGGAGCTCAAAGAAACGCTTTTCTGCGGCGTTGGTCGGCAGCCCCCCCCCCAACGCTTGGACCCATACCAAGCAAGATCAGCTGCTGAGGTGCCACCTAAGGCTTCAATGACTTAAAGACTTTAAGGAACCGAGCAATGATGGTCTCCAACCGAATCAGCGATGCCCTTCTCATAATGCCAGACCCACAGTTATGGTCACGGTCGCTGTAGGTCTGGACAAGACCGGGTAGGGTCTCCGAAGAAAACTCCCGCTCGACGAGCCGTTGTTGGGCCTCCGAGAGACTGAGTTTGCTCAAGGACTTCGATCCAATCGCTCCCTTCCGGGTCGCGATGCCCGGAGCCTCCGTTCGTAGTAAGGCCCGTAAAAGAGTTTTAAACCAAATGAATGTGTTCGCTGTGCCTAACCTACGCGAACAATCTTCCTAACTTACAATCTGCCTCGTGGATCCGGTCGACATGGACATCGAAGTCACCAAGGTTTGGGTCAGAATGATCCCATCCGGAACTTGTCGAAGGATCAATTTCAATATGGCGCAGCTTGGCTCTTTTTCCAACGCAGGAAGCATGGGGCGGCTGAGGAATGGGAAATCCTCGGGCTGTTCTGAAGTGTTTTTAAGAAACGGCCACTGAGAGATGGTTTGAAGCCACCATGGATGTGGCTCAATGCAAACCTTCCCACGCTCTGAAATCAGCGTGCACCTTCCGTCCCTGATTGCATCCCAGTGGCTTTGGTGTTCAAAGGGAATCCGAGACACTCGGTCTCTCCACCTGGAAGGCGGAGAACTCACAGACAACATGTGTTGACTAACATGTGTTTGTTTCAAGTTCTTGGCTCTTTCATCCTTTCAGCTTTTCCTTCAACTCCTTCAACACTCAACTCAATCCCTTTCAAAAAAACGAAAGCCCAAAGACGGATGGGCCGCGGTCGGCCGCCAAAGCCACACCTGCATGGAACCATGAGGACGGTCGATGTCATTGCGAGGCACCCCATGCAGGATCGAGACGAGACATATGTTGGCTCCGTTCGTCGCGTCCGAACGCTCCGTTCGTAGTAAGGCCAGGAGCGCCGAACGTAGCATCCTTGTTACTACTAGTAAGGCACTTGTTTCTACTAGCTTCTTGTTACTACTAGTAAGGCACCTGTTACTACTGTAAGGCACTTGTTTCTACTAGCTTCTTGTTACTACTAGTGAGGCACTTGCTCCTAGGCCTTGTTACTAGTAGCGACGCCCGATCGCGTCCGTTCGGAATTCGTCGCGTCCGACACGGCGGTACGGTACACCTTCGGCGACTCGTCTCCGAGACCTGCAACAGCGCCGACACCAGCCCCGTGGGCCTCGTGACTGCAGATCCCTGTGGCTATGATCTGTGCTGCCCCGTGCCCTGGTGCAGTGGTTTCAGAGTGTGTAGCGTTTATCCCATTCCTTTGTTTTTGTGGTGAGTACTTTTTTAGGATCCAGGTAGATCAGATGTCGGGTTGTGACTCGGAATCATCTTCATGCAGTAGTTTACCACCGAAAGTAAGGATATACTGTATAGAAAGAACACTTTAGGCAGGCTAGATAGAAGTCTTGGCTGGGTGCGGGAGACATGGGACCGTAAGTCGAGAATATGTATAGAAGCCCTTGGATTTCGCCAGCCCTTGCTGCAAACAACGAAGAACTCTTTCTTGTTCCCTTTTCTTTTTTTCTTTGGACCTTTAGACTCAATGTTGTTTTTTCTGCTCATTGAAGTCTTGCTGCTTACGAGAATCTTGCAAGAATGTAACATGCCTCACACCAATCCGCCTCCGAAATACGACGAAATACGGCACCGGCTACAGAGGACACTGGCCAGGGGGAATCAGGCAACCGAAGGAAAAAAATCGAAAAAAACAAAAATTGGTTTTAGTTTCATGTCTTTTGGTTGCCTAGTTTGTGTTTGTTGTCGTTGGGGTCACGGGGCTTCCTTTTCATCCCAAGAAGCCCACACTCAATGCCCGGTGCCTGAGTCCACGCCCTTTACTCCGTCTGGCTGCGAGAATGCCATCGACCAACGCTTGGGCATGCCGGGGCAGTGCCAGGCGGAACCAAGTGATCGCTGGATTCTACCGTAGACCGAAAAAGGGTTCGAAGGGTTCGAAAAATAGCAGTTCTATGGGATCAATTGACTGAAAGGAAAACCACCGAATCGGTGCAAGGTTTTTTTGCTCCAGTGCCTCTCAACAGCAAAACCAATTGGTCCCAAGTGATGACTTTGATGTGTTTGCACCAGGAAGGGGTTTGACGATCAGCGCGATGGAGATGGGCACTGTGTCGGGTACAGAGCATCACCGACGTGTCAAGAGCAAACCGTTTCGTGCAACGACGGGAAGCCCAGGTTCACCACTGAGAGGGAAGTCTCGATTGAGACGACGACCCAGGTTCCGGTGAAAGGAAAGAAGACCAAAAAATGGCCCCCAAAAACTCTTTTTGACGAAAACAGCGCCAACTGGTCAGAGAACTGGTGTTCTGGTGTCTTCGTCCCCACGAGAGCTCGACCTGCGGGCCTGATGGTGTGAAGTCCTCACCGTTCACGGCTCCACGCGAGGCGATGGTCAGTAGTGGCACCTACAGCTGCGAGGTGCTGTGAGATGATGTTCAGATGGTGACCGCAGAGATGGTGTTTTTGGGGGAGGGTCCTGTCTTCATCTTTGTCTAACATTGTAGGTTCTCCAGATATTGTGTGTTTGATGTTGATGTTGTTTGTTTCTTTGTTCTTTCCAGAGTTGATGTCTTGGGCGGTTTGGGATGGAGATCTGCCAATGTCATCAGTTCTTTGGGATCGTGCTATCATCATACACTTAGTGAAAGAAGTGAACACAAGCAGTGACATTTGCTCTGCTGTGGTGGGGGAACTGCAATCAGCCCGCACCAGGCCAGTTTTTGCCCCACCTGCGGTCCGCTGGCCGGGCAATGTGACCAGCTCTGTGGCTTCGGACTCTGTGCAGCGACTCGACAGATCCGGATCTGCTGTGTTGGGCGGATCGGTTTGCAGGGCGAAGCCATCGGAAGAAGGATGGATTTCGCCCAGTTTCAACAGTTCACTGGATCCCAGTCCTCCAACAAAGCATGACGACCTTTTTGTTGGGAGCACACGAAAATTACCTTCAAAAAAAGATTCTCTCCTCTTCATTGCTCTTTTTTCCTTTTTTCTACCGGTCTTTCTAAAGAACACACCAACGGCGACCAACACCAACGGCCACCACCGAGGTTTGTGGGGACTGTTGGCCCTCCGCGCGCTTGGCCGTGGGCCGTCCCGACCGCTGTGACGATGGCAACTCGCAGGACACCGGTGATCCGGTCAGACTTCACCGGAATTGGGTCGAAGATGGTCGAAGTGTGAAGCGCCACGTATCCACCCAACAACTAAGTGAAGGGTTCCTTTTTTCTCACTGCGTCGGTCAAACAAAAGACTTCGTTTATTGGTCAAATCGAACATATCTAGAAAAATTGCAATTGAAATAGAATAGACCTGATGAAAGTAGTCCTGCAGTTCACCACTTGACCACCTATTTTTTGATAGGGCTCGATGATATCGTCAAATGTCCGACAAGCTATGGTCGATGGTGGCAACCACCCCACAACGAGGATCATTTCTCGAAGATACTCCTTCCACAAGGCTCCGTGTTCACGTCAAAACGAAGATGTTCTTTGAACTGAACGAAGTTCGTGTTGGAACTGAACGCGAAATCGAACCACCAACGACGCGGAACTCGCTCGCTCTGTGAGGACGGCGATGGTTGCAGCAGCACCTGCGAGGTCGAAGAGGGCTGGAGCTGCACCCGAGAGGACGGAGTCAGACACGGTTCGTTTCGGGGGGAAGGTAGTAGCGAACCTTGTTACTAACAAGTGCCACGCTAGTAGTAACAAGTGCCTTACTAGTGACAAAAAGCTATTAGAATTAGACTTAAGTTAAATTAATAGCTTCTTGTTACTACTATAAGTAAGGCACTTGCTCCTAGTAGCGATGCACTTGTTCCTAGTAGCTGGTATTGTTCGGACATGTTCTGACTCTCATCACTCTCGTCACGTATCATGGACATTTCGGAGGGACCCCGCAATGTTTTTGATAAACAGGTGAGCCGTTGAAGGCTCGAGCGGCCAGCACTTGTTCATCGTTGTCTTCAATTTGTCTTTCTTATTGTTTTTCATATGTTTTGCTATTCTTTATTTCAGTCTAGAGTTTCACAACAAGCGGCTGTCGGATCTTCCAGTCCAGTCCTTCCCACGAAGGACATGTGGATGATATGTGGTCTTCCCAAGCACCGCAAGTCTAAGAAATTCAAGTCCAATCAACAAAGGCTTAGCAGTTGATCTGTGAACATGTCTTGGACGCTGTCGCTGAGTCAAATCCAACCATCCACGACAAAAAAGAATATACGTCGGTTTGTGCTCTTTGGAGCTTCTCTGGTGTCCAAACCTACCACGGTCCACAGGTGAGTCCCTAGGTCCCTGAACCGAGCTTCGTCGGTGCGCTTTGAGCTCGCTCGCAAACGGCTGCTTCGGTTCGTTGCTTCACTTCGGTCGCGAACGCAGATCGTTCCCATTATGAACACCGCCTTGAACGTGCAGACCATCATTGAGGTCGACAGGCTCGGATCCAACAGTGCAGGAACAGCGGGCTGGGATACGAAATGGGATGAGCTGGCTGAGCACACGTGCCGGGGAATGGTTGGGCGGATCTTTGGACGTAGACTTTGTTGTACTCACCAGGTTGAGCAGTTGAGAATCTTGGACCCGTCACCTTGCAAAAATATGCAACCGTTTGTGGATCTTGTAGCCTGCAAAGCATGAATTGGTTGAATCTTCAAAGAACAGGAAAACTTGCCATCACAAAGCCCTTTCCGAGATGGCCAAAGCATAGGAGATCCTACTACGCCCCATGTCTTTGGGATGTTGCGAAGCCACCGGAGCCACAAAGAAGAACCGGAACCAGAAGTCATCCAATATATGTTTAGAGTTTGATGTCAAAACCAGATGTGTTCAAACCCAATCTGCGAATGGATGAATCGATGCCCGGCTCCCACACCGGTCATCGCTCGCAGGTGTCGCCGCTGCACGGACTCTCCGGCCGGGTGGACCGACAGCCAGGGCTACACCTGCCAGGTCCGGAGCGAAACGGTCCGACGGTCGGTCCGACCACGCACCCCACGCACCGACATGAGAAGACGACGAATCGTCGTTGGGCATCTTCATCGTCGTTCCGCTGTGATTCGTTCGGATGTTGTTTTTCTATACAGCTCGGTGTTCGTTCTTCTTTTGCCCACTCGGCTCAGCTCTTCGCACCACATTCGGTCGATGGGCTTGACCTACACCAGGTTAATCCCAGGTCGGTGATCCTCACGGTCCATGTCGTTTGGCATTTCAGCCCAACCATTGCTCCGAAGACGGAAAAAAAAGGGTCCAGTTCAGATGGATCCCCTCCCCCCAAACCGCTCGAGCGATGTGAACGCGACGTCCGTTGTGCAAGCGAACGTGAGAGGACTATGAGACCTTCGGTGCTTGTGACGCTGCCTCCGTGCCGACGGATCCCATCAATCTCGGGGGAAGACTAAGATCTTCCCCGGAGTATTTCCAATACGAGTTCCTCTATGATGTGAACATCACTCAAGGCAAGGGCAGAAAGGAGCCAGATGTTCATGGAGAGGGGAAACAGAGGGGCAGAGGGGTAGGCGAGGAGGGAGAAATCGAGGAGTTTAACGAAGTGGAGGTGTGGGTGAGTTGTGACGAAGTGTGGGAACAGCCATCTTGGGATCGTGGCTGGAAGTCGAGGTTGGGATGGTTCTTTTTGCACAAAGCCTTGTCTTTCTGTTGAGAGAAGTGACGCTTGGTTTCATGGTGGACTTGAACTTCAGGTCTTTCGACAAAGCTTGAAGTGATTTTCTTCTTCTCTTGGAGCCTATGAACCAATATGAACCAGAGTGTGACATCCGTGTCCTTCAGTGAAACGTCAGTCCGCCACCCGAAGCACCCGACACTGTAAAAAGCCAACAGGCCAGTTCAAAGTTTCCTCTCTTGCATGCAC